TATATATACAATATGTGTGTATATATGTATATATACATATATATACATACAATAGACTATCACTCACCTGTCAAAAAGAAGAAAAAATGAAGTCTTACCATTTGTAACACCATGGATGGAGCTAGAGTATATTATGCTGAGCAAAATAAGTCAGAGAAAGGCAAATATGATTTCACTCATATGTGTTAAGAAACAAAACAGATGAACATATTGCAAGGTGAGGGAGAGAGGGGGAAAAAAAAGCCATGAGAGACTCTTAAAGTTATAGAACAAACTGAGAGTTGATGGAGGGAGGTGGCTAGGGGATGAGCTAGATGAGTGATGGGTATTCAGGAAGGCACTTATTACGATGAGCAATGGATGTTGTCTGTAAGTAATAAATCAATGAATTCTGCTCCTGAAACCAATATTACACTACATGTCAACTAACTAGAATTTAAATAAAAATTTGAAAAGAAAAAAGATAGGAAATATAATGAACATATCAAACAGAACTCACAGAGCTAAACAATACAATAACTGAATTGAAAAATACACTAGAGAGATTCAATAGATTATTTAAAGCAGAAGAAAGGATCAGTGATCTCAAAGACAGGGCAGTGGAACTCATCTAAACAGAACAGCAAAAAGAAACAAATAATTTTAAAAAGTGAAGATATCAATATCAAGCTGAACAACATTCACATTATCAGGGTCCCAGAAGGAGAAGAGAAAGAGACAAAAAATTTACTTGAATAAATAATGGCTGAAAACTTCTTCAACCTGGGGTAGGGACCAAACACTTCAGAAAGCAAAGGAAGTTCCAGATAAGATGAACCCAAAGAAATCTACAGCATGACACTTTACAATTAAAATGTCAAAAGTGAGAGCAAGAGAAAAACAATGTTTTAGTTACAAAATAACCCCCAAAAGGCTATCAGATTTTTCACAGAAATTTTTCAGGCCAGAAGGAGGTGGCATGAAATACTCAAAGCACTGAAATGAAAAAACTTGCAACCAAGAATATACTCAACCCGGCAAAACTGTCATTCAGAATTGAAGGGGAAATAAAGTTTTCTAGACAAGCAAAAACTGAAGAAGTTCATCACCACTAAACCAGCCTTACAAGAAATCCAAAGGGAACTTTTTAAAAATGAAAACAAAGGGCTTTAATTAGTAGTAAGAAAATATGTGAAAATATAAATCACACGGGTAAAAGGTAAATATACAGTAAAGAAGGTGGTTTAATCACATATAAAGCTAATAAGAAGGTTGAAAGACAAAATTAGTAAAATTATAACTACAATAATTAGTTAAAAATACATGTAATATGTAAAAATGTGGCATCAAAAACATAAAAGAATAAAAATGTAGAGTTTTAAAATGTGTTCAACTTGTTATCAACGTAAAATAGACTGTTATAGAGTTTGTTACATGAAAGAATTATGGTAGCCAAGAGCAAAAATATACATTAGATACACAAAAAATAATGAAAAAGAAATCTAACCATGACACTAATGAAAGTCATCAAACTCTAACAGAAGAGAACAAGAGAAGAAGGAACAAAGACAGTAACAAAAAAAGTTAGCAAAATAGCAATAAGTACATGCCTATCAATACTTACTTTAAATGTAAATGAATGAAATACCCCAATCAAAAAGACAAAGTATAGCTAAATGGATTAAAAAAAAAAAAAAAAAGACCCTGAGCTATGCTATCTACAAAAGACTCACTCCAAATGTAAGGATTCAAACAGATTAAAAATTAGGGGTGAAAAAATATATTCCATGTAAATGAAAACAAAAAGAAAGCTAAGATAACTAAACTTATATCAGACAAAATAGACTTTAAAACAAAATCTATAATGTAAGACAAAAAGCATTACATAATGATAAAGGGGTCAAACCAACAAGAGAATATACACCCAAAAGAAGACCACCCAAAAGAAGACCACCAAAATATATAATGCAAATATTTATACACCCAAAAGAAGACCACCAAAATATATAATGCAAATATTAGCAGACCTAAGGGAGAGGTGGACAGCAATATAATAATAGTTGGGGTCTTTACACCCCACTTACATCAATGGGTTGATCATCCAGACAGAAAATCAACAAGGAAACATCAGCCTTAAACAACACACTAGACTAGATGTACATAATAGATATACACAGAACATTCCATCCAAAAGCAGCAGAATACACATTATTCTCAATTCCAAATAGAACAGTCTCAGGATAGATCATACGTTAGGCTACAAAACAAGACTTAGTAAATTTAAGAAAACTGAAATCATATCAAACAACTTTTCCAAAAATAATGGTATAAAACTAGAAATCAATTGCAAAAAAGAAACTGGAAAAATCACAAATATATGGAGATTTGATCAACATGCTACTGAACAGTGAAGAAATGAAAGGAGAAACCAAAAAATATCTTGAGAAAAATACAACATACCAAAAGTTATAGAATACAGCAAAAGCAGTTTTAGAGGGAAGTTCAGGGCAATACAGGTCTACCTCAAGAAAAAAGAATCTCAAATAAATAATCTAATTGTACATTCCAAGGAACTAGAAAAAGAATGAAGCCCAAAGTTATTAGAAGGAAAGAAATAACAAGGATCAAAGCAGAAATAAATGAAATACAGAATAAAAAGACAACAGAACAATCAATGAAGCCAACAGCTGATTCCATGAAACATAAACAAAACTGGCAAAACTTTACATAGACTAAGGGGGAAAAATGTAGATGACATGATTTTATTTTTTTTATTTTTTTATTTTTAAATTTACATCCAAGTTAGCATATAATGCCACAATGATTTCAGGAGTAGATTCCTTAATGCCCCTTACCCATTTAGCCCACCCCACCTCCCACAACCCCTCCAGCAACCCTCTGTTTGTTCTCTATATTTAAGAGTCTCTTATGTTTTGTCCCCTTCCATGTTTTTATATTATTTTTGCTTCCCTTCCCTTATGTTCATCTGTTTTGTATCTTAAAATCCTCATATGAGTGAAGGATGACATGATTTTATATATAGAAATTTCTAAAGACTCCACCAAGAAACAGAATAAATAAATGCAATAAATTTGTAGGATACAAAATCAATATACAAAATATGTTACATTTATATACACTAAAAATAAACTATGAAAAGGGGAAAGTAAGAAAATAATTCCACTGACAATTATACATAAAAGAATAAAATACCTATCAATAAATTTAACTAAGGAGGTAAAATATCTGAACACTAAAAAATATAAAATACTAATGAAAGAATTTAGGGGGTGGGGGGGTGGGGAGCACAAATAAATGGGAAGATACTCCATGCTAATGGGTTGGAAGAATTAAAAAGATCACTCACCATGAACAGGTGGGATTTATGCCCAGGATATAAGGATGGTTCAATATTCACAAATCAATCAATATCATACACCACATCAACAAAACAAAGCACAAAAATCATATGATCAAGGGTGCCTGGGTGGCAGCCAGGTGGCAGTCAGTCAGTTGAGCATCTGACTTTTGATTTTGGCTCAGGTCATGATCTCACAATTCATGGGATCAAGCCCCGCATGGAACTCTGCTCTGACAGCATGGAGCCTACTTGGGATTCTCTTTCCTCCTCTCTCTGCCCTTCCCCTGCTCATGCTCTTTTTCTCTCTCTCTCTCAAAATAAATAAACATTGTTTTAATCATATGATCATTTCAAAAGATACAGAAAAAGCACTTGATAAGATTCAACATCCATTCATGGTAAAAACTCTCAACAAAGTGGGGTTAGAGGGAACATACCTCAACATAATAAAGGCCTTATCTGAAAAACCCACAGGTAACAACAAACTCAATGGTGAAAAACTGAGAGCTTTCCCTTGAAGGTCAGTAACATGACAAGGATGTCCACTCTCGCCATTTTTATTGAACATAATACTGGAAGTCCTAGCCACAGCAATTAGGCAGGAAAAGAAAAAAAAAAAGTTACCCATATTGGTAAAGAAGTTAAACAGTTACTATTTGTAGATGACACGATACTATACACGGAAAATCCTAAAGACTCCACCAAAAAACTACTAGAAGTAATAAATGAATGCAGTAAAGAAGCAGGACATGATATTAATACCAAGAAATCAGTAGCATTTCTATACACTAACAGTGAAGTCACAGAAAGAAAAATTTAGAAAACAACACAATTTTAATTGCATTAAAAACAACAAAATACCAAGGAATAAACTTAATCAAAGAGGTAAAAGACCTCTACTGTGAAAATTATAAAACACTGATAAAAGAAATTAAAGATGACACAAATGGAAAAATATTCCACGCTCATGTACTGGAAAACTTAATATTGACAAAATGTCCATATTACCCAAAGCAGTCCACAAATTCAACGCAACTGCTTTCAATATTCCAATAGCATATTTCACAAAACTAGAATAAATGATATTAAAACTTATAGAGAACCACAGAAGATCTTGAATAGTCAAAACAATCTTGAAAAATAAGAACAAAGCTGGAGGTATCACAATTCTGGATTTCAAGATATACTACCAAGCTATAGTAATCCAAACGGTATGGTATTGGCACAAAAACAGACACATAGATCAATGTAACAGACTAGAGACCCCATAAATAAATCTATAATTATATGGTTAATTTATCTATGACAAAGGAGACAAGAATATACAATGGGGAAGCTATGGTCTTTTCAATAAATGGTACTAGGAAAACTGGACAGCTACATGTAAAAGAATAAAACTAGACTACTTTGTAACACCATACACAAGAATAAACTCAAAGTGTGTTGAAGACTTAAATGTGAGACCTGAAGCCATAAAAATCCTAAAAGAGAACACAGGCAGTAATTTCTCTGACATCAGCTATACATAGCAACAGTTTTCTAGATGTGTCTCCTAAGACAAGGGAAACAAATGCAAAATCAAACCATTGGGACTATACCAAAATAAAAAGCTTTGCACATCAAAGGAAACCATCAAAAAGACAAAGAGAGGACATACTGAATGTGAGAAGATATTTGCAAATGATGTATCTTATAAAGGGCTAATATCCAAAATATATAAAGAATTTATACAACTCAACACCAAATAGCAAATAATCTGATTAAAAAATGGGCAGGGGACCTGAGTAGGGAGAAAAAAGAATACTCATTCACTGTTGGTAGGAATGCAAACTGGTTTGGCCACTGTGGAAAATATGGAGGTTCCCCAAAATATTAAAAAAGAATTACCATATGAGCCAGTAATTCCACTCCTGGGTATTTACCCAAAGAAAATGAAAACACTAATTTCAAAACACTAATATGCACCCCTGTTTATAGCAGCATTATCTACAATAGCCAAATTACGGAAGCAGCCCAAGTGTCCATCGACAGATGAATGGATAAGAGAGACATGAGGGATAGGGAATAATAATGGAAGATTATTCAGCCATAAAAAAGAATGAAATCTTGCCATTTGCAACAACATGGATGGATCTAGAGGGTATAATGCTAAGTGAAATAAGTCAGTCAGAACAAGACAAATATTATATGATTTCATTCATATGTAGAATCTAAGAAACAAAACAGAGGAAAAAGAGACAAACAAACAACAAGGAGCCTTAAATATAAAGAATAAATGCAGTTACCAGAAGCTAGGTGGGTGAGGGCATGGTGAAATAGGTAAAGGGGATTAAGAGTGCACTTACTGTGATGAGCACTGAGTAATGTATGGAATTGCTGAATCACTGTATTGCACACCTGAAACTAATATAACACTGTATTTTAATCATACTGAAATCTAACAATTAAAAACTTTTTTAAAAAATAATTCAAGGTAGAATTTAAAAAGAATGACCACAGGACTTGAATAGACATTTTCCAAAGAAGACATACAGGTGGCAAACAGACCCTTGAAAGAATGCTCAACATCACTAACCATCAGGGAAATGCAAACCAAACCCATGAAAAGATATCACTTCATATCTGTCAGATTGGCTATTATCAAAAAGATTTTTTTTAATGACGAGTGTTGGCAAGGACGTGGAATAAAGGGAACCCTCCTATACAGTTGGTAGGAATGTAAATTGGTATAGCCACTATGGAAGAGCATATGGAGCTTCCTCAAAAAATTAAAAGGAAAGCCAGTGTACAAAACAGCAATTCCACATCTGGGTAACTATCTCAAGAACACTAATTTGAAGAGATATATGCACCCTTATGATCACATAAGGTTTTTTGTTTGCAATAGCACCAAGATGTGGAAGCAATCTAAGGCATATTACTCAGCCATAAAAAGAATGAAATCTTTCCATTTGCAACAACACTAAGTAGACTTAGAGGGTATTGTGCTAATTGAAATAAGTTAGAGAAAGACAACTATGACTTTACTTATATGTGGAATCTGAAAAACAAAACAAAAATGAACAAACAAAACAAAAACAGACTAACAGATATAGGAAACTACTGGTTACCAGAAGTGGAAGAGATTGGAGGAATGGGAGAAACAGGTGAAGGGAACTAAGAGGTTGATACTTCCAGTTATAAAATAAATAAGTCATGGACGGGGCACGTGGGTGGTTCAGTCAGCTGAGCACCCAAGTCTTGATTTTGGCTCAGGTCATGATCTCACGGTTTGTGGGTTTGAGCTTCATGTCAGGCTTTGTGCTGATAGCTCAGAGTCTAGAGCCTGCTTCAGATTCTTTCTCCCTCTCTCTCTACCCTCCCCTATTCATGCTCTCTCTCCTTCTCTCTCAAAAATAAATAAACATTAACAAAAAATTAAGGGGCGCCTGGGTGGCTCAATGGTTAAACGTCCAACTTCAGCTCTGGTCATGATCTCACAGTTCATGAGTTCAAGCCCCGCGTCGGCTCTGTGCTGACAGCTCAGAGCCTGGAGCCTGCTTCGGATTCTGTGTCTCCCTCTCTCTCTGCCTCTCTCTCTCTCTCTCTCTCTCTCTCTCTCTGTGTGTGTCTCCCTCTCTCTCTGCCTCTCTCTC